GTGTGTCTCTGTGTGTGTCTCTGTGTGTGTCTCTGTGTGTGTGTCTGTGTGTCTCTGTGTGTCTCTGTGTGTCTCTGTGTGTCTCTGTGTGTCTCTGTGTGTCTCTGTGTGTGTGTGTATGTTTGTTTTGTATCCGGTCTGCACTCTATCCCCAGCATTGAGCCCCGGCTCGATTGCAGATCTCCCTACCAATCTTCCGGACCACGCTGCTCCTGCGAGGCAGCTGCGAAGCACGATGCTCTGAGACGGACATTGTAGCAACAATTCTGGTGTCTTCGGGACCGTCTTGGACTCTTCTCTTCCACAAGCTCTGCGAAGAAACACCCCAGGACCACATGCAGATATATGCAGAAAGACCCTTGCGGCCGCGGTCCGAACGCTGGAGAACGCCTGCTTGCTCTGGTGCTTCTCGCCTGGGCTCAGCATCGATCAGGAGGCTTCGGGTCAAGCTACCAGAGGGCGATGTGAGCTTCCTTGGACCTTCCCGAGTTAAAGGTTCAGCTCTGCACGACGCGGCACCCTGAGAACCCGATCTCGAAACTCTCGCGGTCCCTTGATCCGGCTGCGGTTTGGAAAGGACGTCTTAGATTGCCCTGGACTCGCATGCCCGCTAAAGGCTAAAGCCGGCCCGCGGAAGTGCTTGCCAGGCATCCGTAAAGGTTGGTGTAGATGTTCGTGGCTTCCTATCTCGGAGCTACTCAGCATTTCCGGAGGCCTCGACCTCCTTGCTACCGAGAGAACGCGAAGGCTCAAGCTTCTCTCTTCGTCCATGCGACTTCCCAGTGGCTAGGGCGTGCCCACGCTTTAGACCCTGAATGTCAACGGCAAGAACCACCACCTAAGCTCGGGCAATATATCCTCAAACTCTAGAAGCTAGAGGTTTCAATCTTTCCTTCGAGGGCCACAGCTTGCCTTAAGACTGCAACTGCACCAGCTGTCCTGCTCGCAGATGACGAAGCTCTCGCTCCAGTCGTCCAGGAGCCGGACGCCTCAAGTCGGCGTCGCGGTGGAATTACGGGGATTCCGCCGGAGAGGCTTTCGGTCTGACAACTGCCGTTGAACATAGCCTGAATCCAAACCGCCTGGCTTCAAAATTCTGGCAGCAGCACAGCCGAAACCCACGTTCAAGCAAAAACCACAAAAAGAGATGAGACTAAATCGGCAGGGGGTGTTCATTCCCCTGAGGTGAGGCATCGGGGCTGGAAGTGTAGAGAGCGCGCGCTCTGATTCGTGTTCTGTTGACGAACGTGTGTCAAGAGTCGTAGTTAGGAAAGTCCCAAAAAACAACCGGAGGAGAGCCGCCTTAGCGCTGCCAAAGGGGCCTGACTTGCCCAAGGAGACCGTCCCCGTTGTTCGAATCTTCGCAAACGGGGTCTTGCGGGCGTTCAAATTCCTTGGCTCGAACTGCTTCTGCCTTTGGAAGGTGGGGAGAGATGTCAACCAGGGACCACGATCTCACCTACAGGCTTCCGCCGATGGAGTCCTAGATCTTCGCAGGTAAGGCTCTTGGTCAGTGTCGGCACTCCCTCCTTGGTCAGCTGGAACTTTTCCTCGATCTCGACCTTGCTCGTGACCTTCACATCACAGAATGCGAGCAGCGTTTTCCCAAGGACCTTGCCGGGGCCTTGGGTCGATGAGGGTCCCGTGCCTTCCGACACCAACTCTCCAGCCGAGCCACATGGGAGGGCGAGGACACAGCCAACTCTGCGCGCGGCAGGTCCTTCAGGGCTTCCGGCAGCTCTAAACTCTCTAAAGCTAAACCTAATATAATATAGAATAAAAATAGAATAAAACAATAAAATATAATATACTCTATTCTTTTTTTATATTATGCTCTATTATATTATACTAATATTAATATTCATATTCATATTCATTTTAATATGTATATGAATGTTGTGTTATATGCTATTATATCATACTATATTATACTATATTATACTATATTATACTATATTATACTATACTATACTATATTATACTATAGTATACTATGTTATACTATATTATACTTCATTATACTCTATTATACTCTATTCGGTTATATTATATTATGTTATATTATATTATATATTGTATTGCATTATACAAGGCCTAAAGGGAGACCCTAGGGTTCCAAAAAAGGGGGCTGGCTTTTCGGGCTTTTGCCAAAGATCGTCTTCTCCTCCAGCGGACCGAGCTCGGGCCAGAGGCTTGGCATCCTCTCGAGGGCGGCTTTGATGCCGCCATGGGTCCGGTTCAAGGCCTCCCATTCTTAGCACAGACACAGGGCAACTTTGAACATGCCTCTTTTTTTTTGGTAGGGACTCCGATGCCCTGAGCAGTTCAATGGTGCCGAGTCGACATCGGACCTCAAATGAAGCTTTCTGTCGAGATGCAGAGGAGCTTTCACGAGACCGGTACCATGGAACCGAGGCTCGCTTCCCCGTCTGCGCGAGTCAACCTTTTACTTGGCACGCTTGCCGAGTGCGCAAGTCGGACTTCTGGTCTTCGGCAATTTGGGCGTCCAAACCCCGAATTGCCGAATGCCCGAAACCGACGCATCAGCGAAACAGGCCGCCACAGCCTCAACGGAGCCGGCGAGTTCTTTGTGGCAGCGGAGGAGCTCGGAGAAGCATTGCTGTCCTGGCACCGCGAGGAGCAGAGGCAAACGCTTCTGACCGCTGCTTCAAAGTCCTTCGCCTGGCGCCATGGCGAGCTGCTCTTTCACGGGGATGCTGGGGGCGGGGGGGGGGGGGTCGGATTGCTCCTGTGGGCTTGCTCCTCTTGCGGGCTCACTTCGCGAAACTTTCGACAAGGCCCTGATGGCCAAACCTGGAACCAAGCCTGAGTCCCTGATCCGGTAAGCTCTTCCTGCAACGACTACGGGAAAGTTCCAGTCGAGCTGCCTAGGACAGCTTGGGGTCAAACACCAGCAGGCAACAAACATGGTCGTCGAAGGCCGCTCAGGGTTCGGAGTTGCCGAATGCTAGATGACATGCGCGCTGCCTGATCGACTGCCGCAGCGGACATGCATAGTCGTTTCTCAGCGTCTTGTATCGCATGATTCAGTGGTCTTGACATCTGGAATACCTCTTCAAGAGCCAGTCCCGGGCTAAAGGAAAATGCTTCGGACCGCATGGATGCCGCCTGCTTCCTAAAGAGGTGACACACATCACGTCGCCGTTTAAATTCTCGGAACAGGCAGCTCGGGCGCTGGAAAACACGATGCGGCACGGCCTGCATTCTTGCGGTGCAATTAACACAAATTGTCGACGCTTACATGCTATTGATGAGTTTGTCTGGTACATGTGTGGTATGGCTTTGAGATTGGCCGAGACCGGTCTCCGTGCTCATCGGCAGCACAGGAATCAAGACAGCTTCGCACGTTCAGGCAGCAGCATGCGATGACGGGCCGTTCTGACAGTGGGCACGAGTGTACACATGCTGTACTTAGTCGACACAAGCCTATGTCATGCTGCACGCAGATAAAAGTTAAGAGCAACAAGCTCAGTGGTCTGAACTTCAAACACTGCAGATTCAAATGAGAAAGTATCAGAACAGTGGCGACAGGAGGATGCAAAAAGTACCGAAAAGCGACTATTGAACCAATGGATCTCGCATGTCCTCGAAGGAACGAAGTTAAAAGCATCCAGAAGCATCCTCCCGCTTCGTAGGACGATGTACATCCGAGAGCTCATACCGGAAACTCGCCGAATGCCACAGCTCCCGATCCAACCTAGGACTTTGCCGTGTTCTGCGAGATTATCCAACCAACGTATTACTGTGTGATGCCGTTTAGGAGCTGCAGTCATTTGTCAGGCGATGTGGCATGCGGGCTTGTGATGATAGCTTTGTAAAACCGATTGGCTTGCTCTCTGCTCGCCCTGGCAATGCGTGGTGAGGCCGGGCCGGCGAGGCCTGGCCAGCTCCTTGCACACTTGCACCGTGCCAGGACATAAGACCGGACTTGAAATCGAAGGGGCAATGGCGAAGCATTCCCCCCGATACTGCAGCATCGCTATTGCTGGTAGGCTGCTGCAAACAAATTCACTGGTTAGATCCAGTTGCAATGGTTTCCGCCCCGACCCCGACCTGCTGGCAAGCAAGCCGGAAATCCGGGGCGCTCAAACGCCTCTGGGGCCCTAGGCCTACGGAGCTCTCTCACCGCCGTGAGCTCCTGCAGCAAACGGGCCTTGCAAACGTCGCCGCAGCGCCCGGCAGCCATCCGCATCATCTCCGAGAAGCTCATGGACTGAATGACCTGGCTCTGTCAGAACACGTTCACAAGCCCCGAGCAGCGACACACCGCGGCACCTTCCGCAGGTTGCAGAGCAGCCGAGCTTTCTGCTTCGTCGGCGCTGCGGGCGGTGTCAGCCCTGCCTGCACCTCCAGCACCTGGGTGAAAAAGACTCACATCAGGCTGGCAGCAGGTCAGCTTCGATATTCTTCGCCCAGGCGCTGCAAGCAGGAAGCCCACATCTTCGAGGCCATCCTGAAGCGCTTTCTCCCGCGCGAGGACGGACAGGAGGCCGAAGAACTCCTCGTTTCTCAAGGTCCTGCTGAATTCGCGCTGGCGCTTATCGGGTTGGACACGGTGATGGGGCCAGTGGCAGTTGCCACAGGCCCGGCCCTTTCGACACCCAAGGCCCCGTGCGAATTGAATACATGGTTTCGCACACAAAGTGGGATGCCCCACACTGCCACGACTCCGGCTTTGTGCGGGCGCTTCCGCTGGGTCTGAGTTAGCAATGTGACCGCCTTGCAGGCGCCGGAGATGCTGCTTGGCCACTTCGTGGTCTGACAGGTCTGGGCGGGCGATGGAAGCCCAGCAGCGGCTGGGGGAGGCGCTCCGCACCCTCCCCGCACGGCCCTGCGTGTCTGAGCCACCCATCTCCTCGATGTCAAGGAACGTGAAACGGTAGGAGAGCTTCGACATGGTGACCGCGTGGACGCTACCGTGTACCTTGCCTAACGCCTCTCGAGCTTGAGCAGTTCTCGGTGCACAGCCTCGCGGATTCAGCTCCCCCGACTCTGACCAAAACTGGATGGAACGCCCAACGGATCACCAATGCACACGAGTCAGCATTGCGCCAGCTTTTGCTCTTGCATAGGCTATGCCGCGGGTCAGTGAGACTGTTCCCTTCATCCGCTTCGGCACGCACAAAACTCAAAACGTCTGGTCGGAAAGATTGGGTTCGGGAGATACGATCAGTTCTTGGGAGTCTCACACATATCTGTGCAGAGCAGAGCTTCTTGTTGGCGGTAGGAAGGGGCCGTGGTCTTCGGAGGTCAGTGCGCCGTGACGAACAGCTGCACGATCTCGAGGCTCATGGGGCCGCCTCAAACAGAAATGCGGACAAGATCTTTGGCTGCTTCGCTCGGAACTTACGCTGTAAGAATTCTCGTGACGGAGCAACTGGGCACATCGACACTGCACCCATCAAGTCCCAACCAGCTTGTAAGACAAGCTTACATGGCTTTGTTGCCCAGACACCCTGGGTCTGTTTCATCTCAAACCTGACAAAAAGACAACGCTCGGCGTTGCCTTCACGTTGAGCTTGAAGTTGTACTCCTGATCGCAGCCCTGTCGGCGAGACAGTATTCGCAACTACGCGTGTCATGACTATTGCGCATACTGCATCCAATGATACATTGCCGCCACTAAGTCGCTACTCATACTTCCTCCCACTGTTCTACATATCCACCACGATTGCTGCTTCACTTATAAGAATCCAGCTTTTCAACAACTACTAACAATAACTGTTATTATTAGGACAACTGCTACCTTTTGCGATCGATTCTTGCGACTCTACCATTAATACAGTGCTTGGATTGCTATTCGCTCCGCCATTCGTGCGCTTCTTGATATCACCATTGCTGCCGTCACAGCTCCTACTTACCCTTACTACACGCATGGCAAGTACCAGTGTTCCTGCTGTTTCTTCATTTGCAACACGTACTCTTGGTACTGCGTTCGCTCGCCCTCTTCCTTGTACTATCTTCACCCGTCGTTGCTATTTACTGTCATGGCACTTGCGCAGTTGCTGCTCTCGGGAGAGCGCAAAGGGCTCGATTGCCTGCCTGGTAGGAGTCCGACATGAGGTACAGGGTGTAGTCGAACCCGCCGGCATCTTCTCCGAGCTCAATCTCGAGCTTCACGTTTGCAACGGCCTGATGCAGGAGGAGGGTCTTAAGACTCTTGCGAGCCAACTTCTACCGAATCTCACACTCTGCTCGGAGTCGCCCCTACGCCTACGGTCTCTTCTGAGCTTAATCGGGCGTTCTCTTTTAACTGCTAAGATGCACGAATCAGCTCAAGGGCCCTAAATGGCAACGGCTGCTTTTTCATCAAATTCAAGGCTGTGAACATGCGACTGCTGTACAAAAGGGGGTCTTTCACATCTCTGCCTTCCTCTGAAACCCGAAACCCAGATACCGGTTCGCTCAGCACACTGACCTTGCTGATAGTGATTCGCTTGATCGCGACCTCGGCAGGGCTCAAGAGTTTCGAGTTCCGGTGCGAGCTTCGAGGAGTCGAGTCTTGGGAAATTTCAGAAGACATAGTGACTCGAAAAAGAAGATCATGGCACTCGCTTACCCCATGTTGGCACCAATCCTTGGAGCCCCCGCCAGCGCGCTCTTCGGACCGCCAACCACCAGCCACCAGATCTCCTCCTTCTCCTGACACCAGGACATGAAGGGCACGCGTGCGCAAAGCTGATCGAAGCAGAGATGTCCGTCGCGGCAACCTCTTGCGAACATTTTCGAAAAAGCAAGGCCGCGAGGCATCAGGAAGGAGCTTCAGGGTGAGGACACGGATCATGCACTTACGAAACCGACATTCTCAACAGCATCTGACGACACCGTGACACGAATCCTTTAATGTGGCAGTCAGCGACACAAGATGACACAAGCGAGCCTTCGGGTAATACATGGCGTACACGGGGCCAACAGTTGCACCCTCTTCCTTCGGCAGAAGCGCGTTTCGGTGGAGTCAAGCAAGTAACCAATGCAGCAGAAACACGGCAAACTTGCACAGGAATGCTACAACATGGACCAGTCCTCCATGGCTTCCCTAGAAAGCTTCACCGAGATCTTTGCACTGCCGCCGGCCGTGAGCGCGTCTGAGTTCTGCACCTAGCGGCGCCCGTCGCTGAAAACAAGGAGATGTGCCAAATGATGATCGATGCAAGTAACAGTGCTTGCATGAAGCGGCCGAAGCTTCGGCTCTTCCTCGTTACATTCAAAAAAATTCTTGGGCCAGGGAGGTGGCAGAGCACGAGACGGAGGGAACGAGAACGACAATCGATGCAATCACAACAGCACGAGGATTTCCCTGATATCTTTGTATCTCAGCTTCGGGCCTTGTACTCCAAGGCAATGCCAGGGAAGCGATTGCAGGCTCTAGCGACGTCAGCAAGCTGCGACCTGTGTCCCACATCTGTGAAGCACAGACTGAACTGAGGGCTTTCTTCCCTGTTTTTCGAGAATCCGAGTCTCGTTGCCCATGAGTAGGCAGGCTGAGATGCCAGCTGAGACAGACCGTCCAGCAGCTTGTCACGTGGGGCATCATCCATGCCCATGACCTGCATCGAAAACGGCTCCAGGCGGTGTGAAGATCAAGGCAGAGCCGGGGACAACCTGCAGAGAGAGAGAGGGAGAGAGGTGAGCCCGCATGCACAAACAACAGAGAAAAATTAAACTAACAAC